ACTTACAGCTCTAGCCAGGAGGTGCAAAGTTCTCTTCTGGTCACTACAAGTAGACACACACTCACACCACACACACACACACACACACACAAATAAGTAAAACAACTTAAATTTATCAGGTTTCTTAGGTTTTTATTGCTGTGAAGAGACACCATGACCACAGCAACTCTTATAAATTAAAACATTTCATTGAGGAGGCTCACTTACAGTTTCAGAGGTTCAGTCCATTATGATCATGATGGGGAGCATGGTGGCCTGCAGGCAGATGTGGTGCTGCAGCTGAGAGTACTACCTCCTGCAGACAACAAGAAGTCAACTGAAAGTCACACCAAGAGAAGCTTGAGCAAAACAGACCTCAAAGCCCATCCCCACAGCTCCTCCAACAAGGCACACCTCCTAATAGTACCATTCCCTTGGGGACCATGTCTTTCAAACCACCACATCAGGCCACATTTTCTACTTTCATTTCAGAAAATACAAGTGGCGGGACTAAGTGCCATTTTAAAGTTAGAGCACAAATAAATAGCTTGGTAACATTAATACCTTTCCATACTGACCATTTCCTATTTCCCAGAACATTGTTACAAATCTACAACCCATAATAAACTGTAATCAGGAAAACTAGAAAAAAGGGAGCCTATAAATATATGCATGGATATGGAGACTTTCATCCTCAGAAGTACTATTACACAATTTTGTTGTGAACTTCAGGCACTGAGTGACAGTTATGCATCCCATGATAACTAGAAAGTTCTCCAGATGAGTCTGGGTGCTCTTACCATCTTGGCACAGAAGCTTTTATCAAATCCATCTCCATAGCAAAACTACGTGTAAAATTAGATGCACTACTCCTGAGCAAGTGAGGATGGGATTCTCAGCACTCAGGCACCATTTATTTTTGATGTTTTGGTTATTTTGATGTTTTTAAGTGCTGAGCCATCTGACTGACCCAGAATCATTCATTTGTTGTTGCTGTTTGTTTTGGTTTGGTTTCTTTGTAGATGTTGTTGTCTTGAGACAGGGTTTCTCTGTGTAGTCCTGGATCTAACTATGTACACCAGACTGGCTTCAAACTCACAGAGATCCTCCTGCCTCTGCCCTACAGGACTAGGACTAATGGCACATACCACCATGTCTGGCCACAACATTAATTTGTTTTTTAATATTGTATTTATGTATTATGTATAGTCTTCTGACTGCATGTATGCCTGCCTGCCAGAAGAGGGCACAAGATCTCATTATAGATGCTTGTAGCCACCATGTGGTTGCTGGGAATTGAACTCAGGACCACTGGAAGAACAGCCAGGGCTCTTAACCTGTGAGCCATCTCTCCAGTCCAACATTCATTTTTTTATAAAGATGCTTACTGAGTTCTTATAGGCAAGGTGCAGTAGGTTCTATTAGTGAGAGGTAGATATCAAGGTTTTATTTACCATAACAGTCCAAGCAAACAATAGAGCTCTGAAATAAGATTGTGAGATGGAAAGCAGACATCTGAATCAGTGAGGAGAGAGAGTCGTGGCTCACAATAATCCACTGTGTAAGGCCCCAGAATTATTAAGGATAGCTATGAATTGACTGGGTTCAGAGGTTGAAGAATAAAACAGTTCATTGAAGCTTCTGGTTATGGTATCTAGATAGAATAAACACTTTTTCTTTTTCTTTCTTCCTTTTTACTTGGTCATATATGTAAGACTATGTAAAGCTCTTAGGCATGAGACAGTAATGGGTGGTGTGTGAAGGCAGGAAATAGGAAAAATTGGCCTCAAATGGGCAATATCAATTGAAGGGGCAGAAGCTCAAAATCATTCAGTACTGTGCTAAGGAAAGTGCAGACTCCTTGCACTGAATGCAAGGGGACATGGAAAGCCACTGGAAAGCTATTACTAGGGAAATGACATGATTGATGGAGATCATGAAAAATGGTTTAAGCTTCAGTGAAGCAAAAATATATTTGGAAACTGTACAACTCGATTTCCTGACAAATGCCATAATAGCTATTATAATAGTAGCAAGAAGTATTTCAAATAGAAACAGATAAGTCATCCACTTAGGAAAAATTTATGTCAGTATAGGTTGCAGTGAAGGGTTACAATACAGAAACTCGAACTGACAAGTTAAAAGAGATTTTACATGCTCTACTGAAACACTGGCAAGTCTTCTGTCATAGTTTATTTTGGAGAGGGAAATGTCTTAAAGGAGACTGCCTGAATGCCAGAGTATTTTGAAGCATTAAATATTTAAATAGAAACATCTCAGATCAGCAATTTAAATCATTGGTTATATTAATCTTATCTTTACCAAACTAATTTAAATAAAATAGCCTCTGCTCACCATAATAGCAACATCTATACTACAGTTCTATCACTTATCAGAGTATTTAGGGTTTCCATAACAGGGTACTATAGATTTGGTACTTAAACAATATGGAGGCTGTAGAAGATGAAGAGAAAGACATCATTCAGCCCAGGCTAGATGATGTTAAACTTCTAAGATTCCTTTGCCTTCTCCTCCCAAATTCAGGGATTACAGGCATGCACCACCATGACTGGTTTGTGGGGTACTGGAGATTAACCCAAAAGCTGTGGGCATTCAAGACATCCAATCTGTTAAATGAACTACAGCATTAGCTCTGTGTTTGGTTTCTTCTAAGCCAGTGGTTCTCAACCTTCCTAAAGCTGCAACAGTTCTTCATGTTATAGTGACCTCGACCATAAAATTATCTTCATTGCTACTTCATAGCTGTAATTTTGCTATGGTTATGAACTGTAATATAAATATGTGATAGGCAGGATAACTAATATGCAACTCCTGAGAAAGGGTCGTTTGACCCTCAAATAGGTCATGATCCACAGGTTGTGAACCGATGTTCTAAGGCCTGTCCTTGGCTCAGACAACACCTTCTGGCTATGTCTTCATGTGGTCTTCCTTGCTTCTTTACACAGAAATACTCTTATAACAGGCCTATATGACACAAACATATAATTCCAGCTACTTGGGAGGTTCAGGTGGGAGAAAGGTAAATTCAAAGTCAGCCCAGTCTAGAAAGTTCAAGGCCAATATGAGCAATTTAGGGAGCCTTATCTCAAAAAAAAAAAAAATTAACTTAATGTTTTTTGGGGGAAGGACTCCTAACTCCATTTAGATTGGATTAGAGATTAGAGTGTACCCTGAAAACCTCGTTGTAATTATACTACTTTCTTTATAATGCCCTATCTCCAAATACAGTCACATTCTGAACTAGTAGAGTCCGTTAGAATTTAGTCCCTAACAAATTTTGGGTTATAAACAACTAAAACCAACTCTAATTTTCACATAAGGGGAATGTATTGGGAATATTGGCCACAGAGTCTAGAAATAGCATGGTTTAGTTAAAAGCCAAGAGAAACGGCAGTGGTGGCACAGGCCTTTAATCCCAGCATTAGGGATGCAGAAGCTGGTAGATCTCTGAGAGTTCAAGGCCAGCCTGGTTTATAGAGAAGTTCCAGGACAGCCAGGACTACACAGAGAAACCCTGTCTCAAAAAACAAAAACATACAAACAACAAAAAGAACAGTCTCAATCTTCTCCACTGAGTGCGCATTATTTGGGTTGGCACTGCAGTCTGTGGTGGCAATCCCAACATTCAGGAGACAGAGCCAGGCGGATCTCTGAGATTTAGAACAACCCCAGCCAGGGACACACAAAGAAACCCTGTCTCAAACAAACAAACAAACAAACAAGCCAATAACCCACAAAGAAACCAAGAGCAGCAAGAGGTAATAGTGAACTACAACTCCAGCTACAATTGTGAGATTCTAGATTGTTCTAGATTCCTGAATTTATATTGTCATGATTGCCAATAAAAATGCTCAAAAATCAAAGGCATTATATGAGTCACTAAAAAAGGAAAAAATTAAAATCACTACATTCTGTCCTCACAGGAATCTGTAATCAACCTCTAAAGAAATAATTAACACAGAAACTGTCACAGCGTCCCACAAAAGCCCATGTTGGATTGGGTGGAACTCCTCAAGGAGTGAAACACATAAAGGATAAAGGGAAGTCAGGTCATTGGGGCAAGCCTTTAAAACGAATATTGGGATCCTTGCCCCAAGTGTCTCTCTTTGCTTCCGCGGCCCCTAGATGAACAAGCCTCCTCCACTGTCCACTCCCCCATAGTGGCACTACGATTGTGCAACCTACCTGCTCAAAGTAGCATTTTTCTCCTTATGAAAAGCATTGAAAAATGGAGTAACTCTCTTCTCTGGAAGAATGATTCTTACCTTAGTCAAAGCAAATAAAACAGTAACTATGCAAAAGAACATTGTTTTAAGTATTGTTTTAAGTGTGTATTTTGGTTATGCAGATACTAATAGACTCATTTTCATATCAAGGACAAGTCATAATTTTGGACTAGAATACAACAGAAACATAGGCCCTAAAGAAAGACTGTCCGGGCAGAAATCAGACCTTGCCTTAAATTTAGGCAGCTTCCCTTCTGTGTTTCCCCTTAAAAAGTGCTAATAGTTAACCATTCGTACCTCAGTAGCTGTAATGAGTGAAATCGTGTGCTTAAACTGGGCTTACTTAGTCGGGAATCGTTAAGGCATTTCCGTAACACCTAAAGTTAATACAGGACTTCAAAGGAGATCCAAGGCTGCATCCACTTCTGAGGATCTCCAAACGAAATTTTTTTTCTTCACATTGTTTCATACTGGGAGGTGCTGCATCCCACCCCTTCCCCCTCCGGGGGGAAAGTAGTTCAGAATTGCTGAGCTACCACCTCGTGATCACCCGGGATGGTACAATCGAGTTCTAACTAGATCTGGAACTATCTAGTTCAGGGGTCCACAGGAGCAACACACGGTAACACCCGCCGAGGCAGTGAAGGAGTGAGCTTGGCAAGCCCCAAACGCCACAAACCAAAGTGTCACGTGGTCCGCCTTTTCCCGTTCCCACGTCTCATCCACGCCCCCTCCTGGCCCGGCTCAGCGGGAGCGCACGCGCAACTCCACTTCCGGCCTCCGCTCCTCGCACCCCACAATGCCGTGCGGCGCCGTCCTGTCGCAAAGGGCTCATCCGGGCGGCGAATGAGCGAGTCGCTTTCCGTGCGCTGCGGCGGCGGCTGGGTCTTCCTGCTCCCGCCGCGCTGCCGGACGCCCCGACGGTAGTCATCTGCGCCGCAGTCGGTTCGGCGCCCCCGCCTCCGCGATGCCCCCCAAGAAACAGGCTCAGGCCGGGGGCAGCAAGAAGGCGGAGCAGAAGAAGAAGGAGAAGATCATCGAGGTGCGTACCCTCCCCCTCCGCGCGGGGCTGGGACTCGCCGGGCTGCGGAGCGGCTCCCGGAGCCACGTGTCGGCGCTCAGCCTGCGGAGCCCCGGCCCGGGTGGCGCTCGGCGCCCCTCATCGCTAGAGGGAGGCCGCTGCGCCCCCGCGCTCGCCGCGTCTCCACCCACGCGCCCGCCGCGCCCACTCCCGCTCGGCCGCCCGGTGACCCCCGGCCTTTTCTCTGCTCACGAGTTGCAGCCGTTCCTGGGGCGGCTGTTCCTGAATAACCACAGGCAGAGCGTCGTTCTGGAAGGCCTCCTCTGACAGGCCTAATGCCTTTGGGTTTTTGTTTGTTTTTTCTGTTTTTTTTTTTTTTTTTCTATCAGCTAGTGAGACGTAGCACTGTTAGTTCTCAAGCGCCAACATACTTACTTGGGTTTTTTTTTTAGTTCATCTGGAAACTTCCGGGTCAGGTAAAGGGTAGCCCAGCTGTCTTATACATAGATAGTATTTAATTCAGAGTCTGAATTAAATGTGTAGGCTATTGAATACAATGCTCCCAGTTTACTTATACATACACACACGCGAGAGCCACTTGTGCCTAGAACCTGTAGGCCTTCAGTGAGCTAGGCAAGGGATTGGTGTTCCTCGTCAGCTTTATACCGACTTAGCTATATTTGACATTCGGTAAACAACATGTTTCTCTTTGTGAGATCTTCCCTACTAATCCTCCTCATACTTAAAAATATATGGTACCTCATAGATTTAGGGTGTAGTTGGGAAAAGCAATGGCCGTTTTAGAGTGTAGCATATCTGAATAAAAAGTAGCTTTTTATAGATTGGTTCTTACTAAAATACCAGAATGAATGTTTCAGTATTTTGAAACGAGATGTTTGCTGCTTTTTGTTTTTCAACATTTGATTGTTACAGCCTTGAAAGATAGCAGTGAGAATCCCCAGGGTTCCTTTCTAAAAGTCTAATGAGAACTTTGTCAATGTACATAGTTAAAATTGGCTGATTTAATATAAATAAAAATGTGAAGACATCTAGTAATCCTGGCTGTTAAAGCTCTGAAGTAGAACTGCCCATAACCAGAACGTTTGAAAACAAAATAATTGCTGGTCGGTGGTAGTATATGCCTTTAAATCCAGCACTGGGAGGCAGGTGGATATGAGTTCAAGGCTAGCCTGGTCTACAGATCGACTTACAGGACAGCTACACAGAGAAATTCTGCCTGGGGGAGGAGAGAAGAGGAAAGCAAAATAATTGATTATCATCTTCACATCTGAAAAAACAATAAATCAGAATTTGGGAGACAAATTTTTGGGAAAGGACATTCGGAGATACCATTTTACTTAAAAACTACAGAGATTAAACCAACATAATATAGACCACAAGACAGTCAAACCTCCATACAAAATTGAATGTAACATAACAAGTTAGAATACACTTTAGACAATATAGAACTTTAACCACTTTTAATTAATAATACTAAAAGTATTTCTTTAAAGTGGTGGTATGTGTCTCTGAATTCGAGGTCAGCCTGGGCTAGAGAATGAGTTCCAGGACAGCCAGGGCTACACAGAGAAACCCTGTCTTGAGAGAGAAAAAAGAGCCTGGAATCCCAGCTGAGGCATAAGGATTTCAAGTTTGAGAACAGCCTTGACGACAACGTAAAACCCTGTCTTAAAGAATAAAAGAAAGGGGCTGAAGAGGCAGCTCATCGATTAGGAGCACTGGCTGCTCTTCCAGAGGACCTAGGTTCAATTCCAAGCACCTACATGGCAGCTCATGACAATCTAATTCCAGTTCCACAGGGTCTGGTGCCTTCACACAGATACACATACAGGCATGTGGGTCGGGGGTGCCTTTGGGTATAGGGCAAGCAGATGCTAAGGAATTTTTTTTCCCCTGGGGACATGTATCACTGAAGAATAGTCATCGTTAAGACCTACATAGACAGAACCCAGGCTTGTAAGCAGGATGGAGAAGCTGTTGATTGCTGGAGGTTAAATTAATCAGTTGCAAAGTGTTCATTTCATAGATAACAAAATACATTAAGGTTGTATATTTGGACAAAACCACCAAGTTAATGCAGTGTCAGGCTCTGCCTACCCAAATAATAGAACCCAGTTTACTTACCTTGGAATACTGTAAAAGTTGACTTTCTCCTTTTTTTCTTAAACATCTTTTAAGGATCAGAAGCTGGCCTGTAAAGGGAGCAGGACTGCTTACAGGTCAGAAGAGAAAAGAGGTCAGAGTTGTAAAGTGTGGAATTTGGTGTAGAGCCTCTTTTCTGACTAATTTGAATTCATCTACCGAAGCATAACTCTCCTTTCCCTGTAATTGACATTTGAAGCCTTAGACGTAGAGTATTTTTCTAGTTTTACTGGAGTAATAAAACCTTTTTATACCTAATGCTTTCCCACTCCCAAATCTATACCAACTTTTAGGTAAGAGTTTGTCCAGAGCTCAAGAAAGGCTTTATTGAAATAGTTTGGGTTGTAAACCATCCTTCTTTCAAGGTGTACCAGTGTTATTTCAGAATGTGCTGTTTAGAAGGCTTTTTGTAACTGGGGCTTGTAGCTCAGGTAGAGTTCTTACCTAATACACTTGAAGCCCTGGGTTACTCAATGGTACCACAGAAACAGCATGGTAGTATGCACTTTGGAGATAGAAAGAAGGAAGTAGGTCAGAAGTTCAAGGTCATCCTCAGCTCCATGCCCAGTTTGAGGCTAGCCTAGGCTTTGTGTGTAGTGGGGGGAGGGATGCTTTTGGTAAACCAGTCTCTCAACTTAACCAGGACTCTGAAAAACATAGGTTATGGTGGTGGGAGGAGTAAGGCTTAGATCAAATACATTTTATTTTAAATATTATGTCATTGAATAGTTCAGAGGTATTATAGTGCCTCCCTGTTCTAAGTCTTTAATTCAGAAAGCTAAGGTTAGACTCTTTTCCTATGGAAAAGTTACCAGACTAGATTATATTTTTTTAATTAATTTTTATTTAATTTTTTTTTAAAAATCTTATTTTATATACCAACCCCAGTTCCCTCTCCCATCCCCATCAATTGTGGGATAGTCCCTCCTCCCCCAATGTATCTAGGCTGGAAGAGTGTCTCTCCATAGGGAATTGGTTTCACTGCCAGAGGCCCCATAAGTCCATGTCTCCTAAGTGACACCCCTGTTCCGGGGCCTGGTTCGGTCCTATGCTGGTTCCTCAGCTGTTTCTGTGTGTTTCTCCATCCTGGTCTTGACTCCTTTGCTCATCACTCCTTCCTCTCCGCAACTGGATTCCAGGAGTTCTGTTCAGTGCTTAGCTGTGAATCTCTGCTGTTTCCATTAGCTACTGAATAAAGGCTCTATGATGGCATTTAAGGTAGCCTCTCCACTATTGCATAGGTTCTTAGTTGGGGTCATCCTGGTAAGATCCCTGGAGATTTCCCTAGTGCCAGATTTTGGATTATATTCTTAAATAAAACTTGGGAACATGTCCAAGTTTCTACAATTGTCATAAGAGATATATTCTGTGAAGAGGCTTAGTAGAGTGTACATGTGTATGCCTGTATAGATGGGAAGATTCAGAAATGTGCTTAGTAAATGTCTTCCCTTTCTCTAGAAAAAAAAATTTTGCCCAAAAATTAATTAAAATTAGAGCCTTCCAAAGTATTTATTAAAATAGTTAATTAAGTGCTAAATATCTGGAAGCTTGCTAGGGTTTTTGTTTTGTTTTGTTTTTGTTGTATTTTGTTGTTTTTTCCTTTTCAGGTCTGGAATTATGTACCTTTCCTACTTTCCTAGAAGCTACTATTAAAAGTACTTTGTTCTCAAGCTGCCAGACCCCTGTGTGGGTTTTTGTTTTGGTTTGGTTTGTTTTTTGTTTTTGCTTTGTTTAAATATTTCTGTCAGTATATGCTTTACTATCCAGTTTGATCTACTGCTTCTCTATAATTGCTTATCAGGCAAAATATTTATAGATGCTGAAGAACTTTGGTCCTGATGTTTTGCCTCAAGTCTCTTTTCCCACTCATGATAACTCATACTGTACAAAGAAGATAGGGCATTTCATACTTGGTTGCAGTATTAATATCTGTATTAATATCTCCTGTCACATGACGCTTGACCATTTTACCCTAGAATTGTCTAGAATGTTAAGCTTTGTACAAAAATAGAGGGTGCCGTTTATAAAAAGCTTGACAAGAGACAATTTCAGCTTGTGTGTTTCATTTTTTGTATGCATAAGCTGTAGAATTTATATGTAGAATTTTGTAATGTCGTGCTGGGATATTAAACAAGACAGACATTTAGGTAAGTAAAAGTAAAGTTTAACTACACCATAATGAATAAGTATGTGCCATTGAAAGGTAGCCTTTAGACTCAAACACCTTTGAGCTTTTTACTGTTAGAAACATTGAAAGACTATTGAGTTTAAGATGCTGCTACATTGTGTTGCATGGTTTCAGCTAGTTTTTGGATAGTGTTCTTTCAGGCTGAGGGTTTTTCAGAGAATCTTGAGTTCTTTCAAGACTTTTTGCCTTCTGTGAAACCACTCATAAATAAGGGAATGAGAAAGAAAAATACAAACCCTGTTTTGAGATTTGGAGCCATCTATAATGTTTAGCTTGCACAAGTGAAGGTTGGCAGCTCATAAATGAGTTGTTAACTGATTTCCAACAGCGGGCAGGCTGAATGAATGCTCTCTGTTGTGAAGAAGTATTCAGGAAAACACCACACTAGGAAACTCTATACAGTGCAGTAAGTTAGAGGCTGAAAATCGGATTAAAGATACTAGAATAGCTAATAGTCAATACTCGCTACAGCTCAGTTAAGTGACTCCACCACAGCTAACAGGTATATATTCCTTAGAGAAATGAAGAGTGGTGTATTTGTTTTCACTGGGCACAGAGGCCATGGGGAAAGTGTTTAAAGTGGGAGGCTGAAGCCAGATGTGGTAGTGTGTGCTTATAATGTAAACACTCAGGAGACTGAGGCAAGAGAATTATGTCAAAGCTCTCCTGACTCACATAGTAAAACCTGCCCTCTACCCCGAAAAAAAAAAAAAAAAAACAAGGATCTGAGAATGTCCAGGGTTTGTGCAGTGAATGAAAAGATACCTGTCCCTCACCTGTTCTCTTTCTCTGCCCTATAATCAGGCTTCTCTCTCTTCTTACCAGATCCTTACAGAGAAATGAAATTACATTTGGGCTGCTGTAACAGATTACCCCAAACTATTACTAGACAGCGTGTTTTCTCACCATTCTGGATTGGAGAAGTCTGAAATCCAAGTGACCACATGTCATGTCTTCCTTGTGAAGACCACAGGGAAAAAGTTCTGGCTTTGTCCTCATTTCTGAAGTTATTAGAAGTTATTCTCAGCTCTCAACTTGTGTTTGTGTTAATCCTCTGCTGTCTTCACATTGCCTTCTCTTGTTGTAACCTCATTTTAAGGTTATATCCACAAAGACTTGTTTCCAAAAAAAGATGAATTTAAAGTGTGGTAGATACAGGTTTTCAAAAATTTCAAGCTATACCATCTATCTCCTTACAGCACCTAAAATCATGTGCATGCATCCTTATGTATCTGAAATTCCAGCCTGGCACTATTGGTGCACACTTGAATGTCAGCACTAGGGAGGTGGAGGCAGACAGAATTCTGTGAGTTGAAGGTCAGCCTGGTCTATAGAGCTAGTTCTAGGACAGCCAGGGCTACACAGAGAAACCTTGTCTCAATAAATCTAAAGAAAAAACAAACATATCTGATATCCTTTCTGAAGGCTTTTGTTCATCATACTTATTAAATATGAGGTAGAAAGCCAAGGTTCACCATAAATGCTGAATACAAAATGATAACCTCCAATAAACTAATAAAATCTCAAACTTAACTGAAATATTGCTTTCCAGTTAAATTTGTGGTGTTCTAGAAACTAATCCAGAAGTTTAGATGTGCATTCTTGGTACAGTATTTCCCAAAATAAGTTCATCAGTGATAGGGGATATCCTTCTGTGTGTGGTGAACATATTTTTCTCTTACTTTGTTGATGACTAAAGCTATTTCAGTCGTTGGACAGGCAGGAAATCCAAACAGGGATAGAGGAAGGTAGTAGACAGAGTCAAGGAGAAGCCATGTAGCTACTGGGAAGGTAGGATGCCAGGGCGTTTTCCAGTAAGCCAAGACCATATGGAGATACATAGATTAATAGAAATGGATTAATAATTAAGAGAGAGTGGATGGGGGTCTGTGGGGGGAATGAGAGGATAGGAGGGAGAGGGGATTGATATGTAAAATAAGATTGTTTCTAATTTAAATAAAATTTATTTTAAAAAAAAACAAAAAATAATAAGAGAAAGCTAGCCAATAAAAAGCCTGAGCTGTGGACCGAACAGTTGATAATTAATATAAGCCTCTGTGTTTATTTAGGACTAAAGCACTATGGGACTGGTTGTGAAAGAAACTTCCGTCAATGTATCAGTACCAGATTCAGCATAAGCTTACAGAAGTACATCCTGCGATCAATTGAGTTTTGAAAGTGCTGTGTATATTTCCTCTTGCTAAAGGGGATGCTAAGATATCTTGTAATTTAAGACTTAAGAATCTAGGATTTGGTGTTCAACTCAGTAATAGAGAAATTACATCATATGCAAATTATGCAAATTGCCCTGCACTGCAAAAGAAAAGAGTTAAGAATACGCTTCACATTTTCCTTGGCTTGTTTGACCATGGGACTGCTTGTACCAGTATAACAATTTCCACAGGTCCCATAGAACTTATAATCTGAAATGTACTAAGGAGGAAAACAGCATAGTAAGATTTAGTGGTGCCAGTGAGTTTCAGGTTAGAATTAAATTGTGAATAGTGATAGTTGATATTTTGAGTGATAAATGTGTTCATAATTATTGTGCTTGCTAGTTTTTATGTCAACTTGACACAGGCCAGAGTTAAGTTTTTTGGAAGACCTCTACTGAGAAAGTACCCTCAAAAGATTGACCTTATTTTCTTGATTGATGATTGATGTAGGATAGCCCAACTCACTGTAGGCAGTGCCCCCTAGGTTGCTGATCCTGAATGCTATAAGGAAGCATGTTGAATAAGCTTTGAGGAGCAACCCAGTAGGCAGCACTCCCCTATGGCCTTTATCAGTTCCTGTGCATCCTCCAAGTTTCTTTTGGCCATAGTATTTTATTATAGCAATAGAAACCCTTAATTAAGTGATATATCACATTTGCTTGATGTTGTGATGTTTTACATATTTTTATGGCATAAAGAATATATTTTCTGGGGCTAAAAAGATGATTTAACATTTAAAGGGCACTGAATGCATTTCCCAATGACCTAGATTCAATTCCCAGTGCCCACGTGGCAGCTCACAACTCCAATTGCACTTTTCTGGCCTCCGGGCACTGTACACATGTGGCACACAGACTTGCATGCAGGTAAAACACATATGCACATAAAGTAAAAATAAATCTTACATTTTAATGAAGACTTATTTTTCCTATCAATAAACATATTTCTATGTTCTTTCTTTTAGGACAAAACTTTCGGTCTAAAGAATAAGAAAGGAGCAAAGCAACAGAAGTTTATTAAGGCTGTTACTCATCAAGTGAAATTTGGTCAGCAGAATCCACGTCAGGTAAATTAAGTTGTTGTATTTTCTGATAGTTGTGATATAAATAATATAGCATCTATCTCAAATTACATGGTATTCTAATAATAATTGCATACTATTTCACAGTATGAGTGTATTGTTTTATTTCATTGTTTCCATCTTCTTGACAGAGTACTTCTACAAGAAACACTCTAGTACATAATGTCCTTAAATGTGCTTAAGCTTTTATTTCCCTTGTACAAATTATCTACAGACTTTTCTCTTTCTAGGTCAAGGAAAATGAACTTATAGTACTTTTTACATCTTTATTTATTTTATCTTGTGTATGTAAGTGCACTTGCCACAATGCTTGTCTGTAGGTCAGCCGGCACCTTGAGAATTGGTTCTCCCTTTCCACTGTGTAATTTCTAATAAGTGAACTGAGTTCTTCAGGATTGGCAACAAACGCCTTTACTCACTGACCCTGAACTTCTAATTTTAATAAGTTTGTCTGAACAGATTATGTGGACTAATATTTCACGTTTTCATTTCCTGTATGTACTGGATGGTAAGGTTTTTTAGTGTTTCCCCCCATGATAAGTTTAAAGTAGCATTTCATTCTGTTCCTCAGTGGTAGAATGAGTCTTTGCATATGCTTGTCATTTTACACATCCAGCTATTCAATTATTGGCTACCTTTTTCCTACATACTTATAGGAAATACTTTTGTTATTGCAGATAATTTTTTATCTCTATTTTGCTATACAATAATTTTGTCTCACTTTTTGCTGGATTGTTATGCATACTTTTCTTAGTTTCTTAGGGTTTTTTTTTTTTTTTTTTTTTCCTGGTTGCTTCCTTTTTACAGTCAGTATTTTCTCCTATTTCTTATATATCTATAAAATTGTCTTTAAAGTTGAATAGTTATTTGGTTCAGCATCATTTCACCATTGAATTGGAATATAACTACTGATATATTAGGATCTTTTCTGGATTCTCTCTTCTGTTCTACTTATTTATTGTCTATGTCATCACACTGTTTTTTATTATAGTGAGTAACCTGACATATATGTTGTTAGTTACAGTGTGTCTTCTTTTTAGTCTTGCTGCTTCTTAGAGAGTTCTTATATAAGAATTGGTAACTTGTTTAAAAACTTTAGTTGTTTTTCTTAGATTCTCTGCCTTTCATTCCATAAGTTGTTGCAAATACAATCTTTGTTTTTTGGGTTTTTTTTTTTTCCCCAGTACTTTCTTTTTTAATGTATCTTGTCCTTAATTCTTGGCAACACTCTTTGAACATAGAAAAGATTCTCAAGTATGTTTTAAGTACATTTTTTTAGTCTGAGAATATCAGCATTAATATATCTGTTAGATTACTAATCTCTATGTAAAACCTAATTCTCTTCATGCTTTCTCCATCATCATTTCTTTCTAGAATTGCAACTTTATTCTAGAGCCAAAAGATAGTATTCTTCCAAGGTGCTAACTTTACCTTGTTTATTGTTTAGTAAGAATGTCTTTAGTCTGAAGCAATTAAGTTCAAAAATGTTTTGTTTTCTTTTTTTAGAGAAAAACTGGTGTATTTAGCTCTAATAAGCAGGTCATGTTTGTACTGAACAAGTATAGGCTTTGAAAGTTAGTGTTCTCTAAGCAATACAGTGTTGATGATTTTGATAGCCTGCATTGTATTAGATAGTTTAAGTAATACTACAAGGACTTGGGCTACCATGGATTTGGGCAATATCAAAGGATCACTGTATGCTACCTAAGCCTTGGATCCTCATAGACTTGGGTTTGGTCTTTTTCATTACATGATTTTAAATTATTCACAAATATTAGTTTTTACTGTACAGTGGAAGGGCAGTTGTCCCCTGTAGAATTCCCCTGGTGGTTAAAGAAAGCTCCCTGTCCAGTACTAGTTTCTCTTCCTCTGACATCGTCCTAGTAGTTTGAATATTTGTTTCAGGCTTAATAGACCTAGAAATATTATAAAATTCATGAGCTACTTAAGTATGTCACTGCATTCAGTATTATGTTTTTGATACTTTTAGTCTAGCATTGAATATAGAGTACCTAATTACTATATATTACTTTGAAGCTAAGCAGCAGTTTTGTTTGTAGATGAGATTCTGCCCTAAGTTGTGTGCTGAGGAAGATGTCCCTGCTCTTAGTTATTTCCCAAACCCCAGGAGGTGTGCTCCACAGCTCCCCAAAGCAACTGTTAGGGCATGTGAAGGCCCTTTCCTTGTTCCCACCTCCAGGGAGAATATGTTGTGTTGCCAGTTTACCTAAGAACCTACAGGAAGTGTGCTAGGGATACAGGGCAGAGCCTCTACTATACCATTTCCTCTCTGCCACTTTCTACCCCCAAACACATATACACACAAATACTGTAAGACCCGATAAATCAGAAGAGGGGTAGAGACTGACTGCATTGCAACTGCTAGGCTTTGTTGAGCAACTCTATGAAAAAGAGCCTGAGCATTTTACATTTGAACCTCATAGGCCAGAAGATTTTTGTCAGCTGGAAAGATATCCACTTTGATTTATCATTTGCTTGATCTGTCTTCCTGCCTCAGCCTCTTAAGTGATCTGTGCCACTAGGACCCAGTTAATTTCTAACTATAAATATTTCAAATGGTTTGTGGCCTCCAGTATATTCTTCCAGATGCTACATAAGAGAAGAGCCTAATCAGCAAGGACTACTTTTATTTAAAAGACAGCAGAATGATTTTTGTTGTTTAAGCACTTCCACTATGTAGTTGAAGTCAGAACTTGGAAGGATCTAATTGTAGCATTGGTTCATTGTTCTCCCAGGTGTGTTTTGTTTTTCCTTTTTGAACACATTTTGTTCTTCCTGCTGTTTCTTACTGATTTATTTTTCTTCCTGCTGTTTCTTGAGTCTCTTTAACAGATTAAGTTCTGTTTTCTTTCAGACTAGACCCTGTCTAGTTGCAGTGGAGTCAGTATTGTGTCCAGTACAACTGCCTTTAAACAGCTCCGCCCAGGTGCTCTGTAAGCATTTCAGGCTCCTATGTCCAAAACTGAGCTCACCTCCACCTCCTACCCTGAAACCTGTTCCTCCTGTATTCCCTGTCTTTTTCAGCAGCACTTACTGTGCATGTGCTAATCCAAGGCTTCTCTTTCTGCTCAGTGTTATGGCTAGAGTTCTTAGTTCCGCTTCATAAAATGCTCTCTTCTCATTCTTACACTAATACCTATTTGAAACACTAGTGCTTTCCTAACTAAAATTGCAGAAGATTCTCTTCTTGGATTGCTAGCCTGTCCTCAAAGTTGCCACCCTGTCTTTATAAAATAAAACCTGATCTGGTTATTCTAAACCTCTAAGTTATAGTCTCTCACCTACTGATAAAATCCAAACTTGTTTCTCATATCTTGGTGTTCTCTGGTCCTTTGTCTTTACAGTGGAGGTTCTTGCTATATTCCTTTCTTGTTCATCAGAACTCCTCTATAAAGTTATCAGCTCAATCTAATTTTCTAGGCATATAGACATTCTTTGTTTTCAAAGTATTATAGATACTGGGTTATAGTTGTATGTCTTCCCCCTTAAATAAGCATCTTATATTTGTGTATTCTATGGGCTGAGGTACAAATGTTTTAGATAAATGCTAATCATATTAATCATATTAGTTATGTAAAACGTACTAGAACTATGGATGTATTGTGTCTTCTATTATTTCCTACATTGTCGAAATTAGTGTCTTTTCAATAAGGGCACTATAGTTTGTAGTGGTTACTGACCATTTTTGAGTTACAGAACATGTCAGGATATTTTCATCTCATTTCAAAATGCACTCATATTTCTAGTGTATAGGTTGTTTTCATTGGGAACGGTTTGCTAAATGCCAGGATTAAATATTTAATAAATGCTTATTGCCATTAATTTTTTTTAAACCATGAGTTTTGAGTGTGTTTTAATTAGGTGTGATGCCTAATTATAGGACAAAAAAGAATTTGTTGTAAAGCTTATCAATTTTAATAGCTTAAACCAGGAGTGTAAGCCACTTACTGTAAAGAGTGCATACATATAAATATGTAAATGTCTTTGTTATGTTAGTAATTACTATATAGTGAAATAGTTTTGTACGCAATCAGATTTACCTTTTTAATTTGGAAATGTAGGTAGCACAAAGTGAAGCTGAAAAGAAACTGAAGAAAGATGACAAGAAGAAAGAGCTACAAGAACTAAATGAGTTGTTCAAACCTGTAGTTGCTGCACAAAAAATAAGTAAAGGTAAAATTTAAATGTCAGAAGTGCTATTTTTGTCAATTATAATTCATGTTTCAAATTTGATTTGTGGGGAGCTTGAGTGAAGACTCTTCCTCTTAGAAAGTACCTGGTCTCAATTCCCAGTACCCATAGCAGGATCATAACTCCAGCTCCAGGGAATCCAACATTCTAGCCACCTGAGGCACCAGGTGCATATGTGCTACACGTACATGCATGCAGGCCAGCACTCACATATATAAAATAAATTTAAGTTTTTTATTTGATTTGTGCCTGACATGGTAATACATACTGTTAGTTCCAGCACTTGGGAGGTAGAGGCAGGCAAATCTGTATGAGTTCAAGGCCAGCCAAAGCTAAACAGCAAGACCTTTCTTTAAAAAATAAAAACTTGGTTGTTTTGTGGAGTTTTGTTTTTTGTATTTTGATGAGGGTGGTCTTTAGGAGCCAAGACAAAACTATGGTTGCATAAATTATAAGTCACATACATATTTGGGGCAGTATTCTTCTGTTCATGTTTTTCTTTGCCTCCTGTCTTACTGACTCCACAGCCAAAGAGCAACAAAATAACCTGTGTTTGGTTTTCCACTTCTACCATTTATTTTGATAAGAATAAAAGAAAAACAAATAGCTAAAATGCTATGTAAAGAACTTTAAAGAAATATGTAACCAAACACTGTAAGTGATACTTTTCTCAAATAGAAAATAAGTTAAGAAGATATAATTATATCCCAGATATAGGCTATGCCTTATCTAGTAGCCTATAAGAAAGATTGGGAGTGGGGGGCGGACACAAATAAACAGCCAACACCCTGCAGCAGGCAGGAGATACGGAAAATGAATTACTTGCCTGTAGTACAAATGTTACTTCCCCTTTGATACAGGTGCAGATCCCAAGTCTGTGGTGTGTGCATTCTTCAAACAAGGACAGTGTACTAAAGGGGATAAATGTAAGTTCTCTCATGACCTCACTTTGGAGAGAAAATGTGAAAAACGAAGTGTGTACATTGACGCAAGAGATGAAGAACTTGAAAAAGGTATTTATTGGCTTTCTCCTAAAGTTTAGAAGTAAATCCCTTTCGTTGTTTCTTACTATTTAGTAGTGTATTAATACGGGTATTAATTGACTTTCTCTTGAAGTTTAGAAGTAAATCCCTTTATTTTTCCTTACCATTTGGTGGCGTATTAGTACAGTATTAACTAGTACTGTTGTAAAGAACAGTTTGTGGTTTTGCACCAAATTTAAATAAATGATGCTTAGAATACAGTGTTGGATTTGGCTGTCTTCCTGTGCTAATGTCTCATTTATCTGAGCTTGGGTAGATAATTTGCAATACTTTGTATGTTGTCTTTCCTGTTTCAGAGAAAATTGTTACATTATGAATATTACTGTTTAATGTACCTGTCTATTTAGAGGCCTATGTTGTGGGAACAGGAGATGAAAATTACTTGCTGTGTCTTTGTATTTAGATACTATGGATAATTGGGATGAGAAAAAGCTGGAAGAAGTAGTAAACAAGAAGCACGGTGAGGCGGAAAAGAAAAAACCAAAAACTCAAATAGTATGTCCTTTTCTTGAATTGAGTTGCTATAGCATTTATTATTAGGGAGTATTTTGTGACAAGGTATTGATGTTTTCTCCTGGAATGTTGAGTATTAGAAAATCACATTTCACCAACATCAAGCTTTATTTTTGAAATTTACAGATTGTTTCTCTTTTTAATTAGATTGTTTTTACAAGATTAGTCAAAAAGCTAAGTAACTAAAGTCTCCTCAATGCAATTTTCTGGAGTGATTTGACTTCCTTAACTATGGATTAGCATAGCTGGTCATGGTACCATGTACCTGTAATTGCAGTAGGTCAATTGCACGTTCCACACAGGACCAGTCTACATAATTAGACTGACTCAAAAAACAAGATGAATACAATACACACTTAGGTAACAATCTTCTATCTTGTAATGATAGAAGTAGGCTTATTAAGCCAACCCATGTAATTAATTGTTTGATTTTTTTTTTTTAATACTTGGAAAGTTTTTTTTAATTACTAGGTCAAAAATATTTTTACATACGAATTCCAAAATGTGCTTTGTGGCACAAATAATAAAACCCAGAGACAGATACTGTGTTTCAAGCTGAAGATAAGAAAAGCAAGCAGACAACTAGAGAGTTCTTACCTCTACCAAGGCTCAGACCAAAAAGGGGTGATCCTGTCGTCAGCATGACTAGACAGAATACACTGCACTCCTGTCTCCACCCACTTTATATTCCTCTCTAGTGCTGGGATTAAAGGTGTGCACCACCACTGCCTGGCCAGTGTGGCTAGCTTTGCACTCTGATCTTTAGGCAAGCTTTGCTTGTTAGATTATAAACAAAGTGTTTTTGGTAGGTAGTAGCTCTAGTGTTCTGGGAAATCTGCCTTTAAAAATTCAGATTATTTCCCAGCTTCTGTACTCACATCCAATAAGGTTCTACTCTGCTAGAAGACTTAAGTAAATTGTGCTTCATAAATACTCCTTGCTTTTTTGGGGAAAAGGATAATGGTGTTTTTTTTTTTTTATTTATTTATGAATGTTGTTGGCTGGTGTTTTAGCACAGTAGCACTTGTGCTCATTTGTGTTTAAAGATCACTGTTGTGTTCCTTTTGAACCTTATACCCTTATAATTGTGTGCAGTATTTTGGTTTTAATTAATTATATGCAGTATTAGTGTCTATGTGGTACATGCACATGAGGACAAGTGCCTGTAGAAGCCAGAGGCCAAGTCAGATCCCCTAGAGGCAGTTGTGAGCCTCCTGTCATTAATCAGAGCCATCTCTCTAGCCCCTGGCTTGTTTTTTGGGGACAGGGGTCTCACACTGTAGCCCAGGCTACCCTTGAACTCTTTAAACAGTTTTCCTTGCCTTGGCTTTCTGAGGATTAGAATTACAAATGAGTGAGCCATGGGGCCTGGTTTTGTATTTAGATGTATTTTCAAACATTTTTATGTATAGGTGTGCTTTGTACATAAGTTAGCCTTAGGATGTATTATTACTTGTTTCAAAGTCAGATGAATTTAGACTGCACCACCACTTCTGATTAATACTGTCTCTATAGGTGTGCAGACATTTCCTTGAAGCTATTGAAAATAACAAGTATGGCTGGTTTTGGGTGTGTCCTGGAGGTGGCGACAATTGCATGTATCGCCATGCACTTCCTCCTGGATTTGTGCTGAAGAAAGACAAAAAGAAAGAAGAGAAAGAAGATGAGATTTCATTAGAAGATCTAATTGAAAGAGAGGTAACATGTATCTTTCCTTTAAAAGCTATTTTTAATTATTTTTGTAAGTTCTAATATTTACCACTTGGGGGCAATAGCATGTTAAGGAAGGAAAACAGTATTGTGTCCTTTTCCTACAGTTACTACACTTTAATTACTCTTGAGTATCTTAAATATAAATTTTACCATTTACATTAGCCCAACATACTTTAATTATAGGAGTATGTACGATTGTTTTGTGTTTGAAGTTCTAACTACTGCTGTTTTCGTACCATGGGACATTTTAAATGCTTATTTATGCCTCCTGTTGCTGTCCTTCTTTCTTTGTAACACACTAATGGGTGTGGGAGAAAACCACTCCTCTCCACATTCTGGCTATGTGTCTGATCTATTCAGTTAGAGGAGAAGTGATCTGAGTAAAGAAGCTTCTGTTTTCTAGCTCAGCAAAATGAGTTGAAGTGCATTGAGGATAGGGTGAAATTGAGATTATTGGATACTAGACTAGCATTGTTTGCTTCAGTGTGTGTAAGTGGCCAGTACTAAGATTGTATACACTCCTTAAGTGACTGTATTGTTTGTATGTCACACAAAACAAAGACAAAATAATAAAAGTGTGGGTGTTAGAGTCAAGTATGCTTGAGATTGCTTTTACCCAAGTTCCACCTCTTCCTAACTATTCATGCTTGATAAATACCGTCACCCTCTGCTTATTTGTGGAGAGCAATGCGTAGATGAGAGAGATTGAACAGTGGATATCTGGCAGATGCTTATTTTTCTTCCCATTTATTGACTTTTACCCCTGAGACGTGCAGGTAATAATTTTGTGTTTTTGGTTTACCATCTGAAAGAACACAAATGAAGCTTGGATTTATTATGGTGTTTTTTAAATCTATTGATTTTACCAACAGTTTTCATGACAAACTTTTCTACTCAAGAGATTTTCCTTGCTAGGCATTGGTGGCACACATCTTTAATCCCAGCACTGAGGAGGCAGAGGCAAGCAGATCTCTGTGAGTTTGAGGCCATCCTGGTCTAGAGAGCTAGTTCTAGGACAGCCTCCAAAGCAATACAGAGAAACCCTGTTGGGAAAACCAAAAGACAAAGATTTTCCTCAAGTGTTAGGGTGTGTTTGTGTCCTTGTTTCACCCATTGCCATGAAAAGTATCATAATTTAATCTGTTTGCTGTTTTAGGGCAGTCATAAATGCTATTAAACTCTAAATGACTTTAAATTTTTTACTTTGCAGCGTTCTGCCTTAGGTCCAAATGTTACCAAAATCACTCTAGAATCTTTTCTTGCATGGAAGAAAAGGAAAAGACAAGAAAAGATTGATAAACTTGAACAAGATATGGAGAGACGGAAAGCTGACTTCAAAGCAGGAAAAGCACTGGTGGTATGTCCCAGACTCACACCAATGGTCCTTCATTCTTCTGTCTCGGGTGTCAAAACTTGAGATTCTGTCTTTTTCTATGCAGTATGTATAAAGTAATAATTTTTCCCCCTGAGATGATGTATTTGTGTCCATGAATAGATCAGTGGTCGTGAAGTGTTTGAATTTCGTCCTGAGCTGGTCAATGATGATGATGAGGAAGCAGATGATACCCGTTACATTCAGGGAACAGGTGGTGATGAGGTAAGACCAAGCTTCGACCTCATATACTGATCCTACCGGGGAAAACAGAGAAAACAGAAACATGGTTGAAAGCACCAGCACTGGGCCAGACTCTGGAGTTCAGGTCCCATTTCCATCAGTAAGAAACTGTCTTTAGACCTCCACTCTACCGACACTGTTAGTAAGTAATTTGTAACCCAGGTTGCTTCTAGGAATCAGTTCATTGATGTATATTTTTAGGGTTGCTTTCTTTATAGAGCTTAGTATATGCTGAGGCGTGGTAGCACAAGTTTTTAATCCCAGCACTGGGAAGGCAAGGCCAGGTGGATGTCTTGAGTTTGAGGCCAGTGTGGTCTACAAAGTGAACTCTGGGACAACCAGGGCTACACAGGGAGACCCTGTCTTAAAAAGCCAAAACAAAAAACTTAGTATAGTGCTTGGTGCTTACAGTTAAGTGTTTTGTACAGTAGGTATTTAAAACAAAACAGACAACTCCCTTTAAAGTAATTCTTTTGTTCTGTAAAAACAGTCAAGGAGCAGGGCACTACATGGCTGTTAAAGGGCATGCAACAATAGCAATTCTTCAGCAATTATGCTAATATATCATACAATTTTTTGTAAAAGTCATTGTCATGGAATTCCACATTGAAAGAATGTCGTACTCCAAAACCATAATTCTAGAGAAGGAAACTTCAGATAGAGAGTATTAACTGCTTTTTTTTTTTTTTTTTTTTTTTTTTCTTAGAAATTTAAGGGAGGGAGAAATGTGTTTTTAAGTAGTAGCTATCATTTGTCTTTTTGTTTTTTCTTGGTATTAGTAATAATTTTTTTCCTGAAGACAATGTGTCAAGATTAAAAGTGAGTTGAGGAAACTTACCTGTAATAACTGCTTTCTCTGTATTGTTAAAGGTTGATGATTCTGTGGGTGTAAATGACATAGATGTAAGCCTGTACATCCCAAGAGATGTAGAAGAGACGGGTATCACTGTAGCCAGTCTTGAAAGATTCAGCACATATGCTTCAGATAAGGATGGTAAGTGTGTTGCCTTTTTCTGAGTTTCAAAGAGCTAGGAAACTAGAGGGAGCTAAACCAGCCTGGGAAAACTCAGGCATATTCAGGCTCTAGACTGGAAATGTAAACATTGTGCTAAATAAAAAAGGTAGTGGAAACAAAAAAGAATGGCTTAGTGGATATTAAAACTATGGACTAAACTTCTTAGGAGACTTTTAAAAAAGTTTATAGATAACAGCTTTTTAATGTTATTCTCTAAAATTCTGTATAACTATTTTCAGACAAAAACAGGCTGAAAGTCATCTGCACTAGTGTCAGAATGAAGAAGCTCAGCTAGTCAGACTGCATAGCCTAACAGTCTAGAACATACTACACACACCAGTGTCATAGGACTGACAAAAAGGGAGATGCCTACAAAACAGAGCACTTCAGTAAAAGGTTAAGAGACTCAAGTTTCAGGGGGTGGGGAGTAGAATTACGGGTAATTTATTTGTTGCAGTTAGGCAAAGGGATACTAGCATAAGGTGCCTGTTTTACCAAGACAATGTAGAGATAGGGAGAAGAAAGAACAAATGAGTACACCAAATGTCAGAAGCAATGTGTTCAAGGGGTACAGACTTTAGGATTTGCAAAATATGAATATATGTGTCAAAGAAAAAGGCTCTAGCAGAAGAGGAGGAAAAAAAATGACAGGAGAGAAAAACAAGTTCTGAAAGTATATGTAACAATTGAGTGTGAGCATGGAGGGAAGGTGTTCTAGGGACTATGTAGACATAAAGATTTGGGGTTTGTATCTAATTGTACCTTGGGTAAGGGATTTGAAGACTAACTTAAGGATACCTGCTGTGAGAGTAAAGCACAGAAGGCTGGAATAGAAAAGACTGATAAACCTGATTTTATTATGAAAATATGTAAATTATAACAAAACAGGTGGTTTACCCTCCCGAGATCTGAGATTGATAGCGATATAGAGACTGACTGATTTCCTATATAAGTTGGGATTTGATGACATCTGAGGTTGACCTTGTAGTCAGAAGTGATTAACCCTAATAAGGCTATTAATAGTTGCCATTATATAAATGTTGTCATTGAACAAGAAGAGGCAGCATCTTTGGTTTCTCATTTACACGTAGCTGTATGCTAAAGCTGCCTGGCACTAGAATCTTGTGTGGTGCTAGAGATTAGACCCAGGCCTCTGCTCCTAAGCTCATCTGCAGTCCCCACTCTCAAAGCATCATAATTAGTGTGTTCTATGTGTTAAACCAATACCCGAGTAACTGCTTATAGACACTTTGTTGTAGTTGTTCTGTAACCTTTCAGTCTAGCAAAATATGTGTGGGAGTTGACTATTTTGGAACCAAATTACTAAGTCACATAAGGAACACAAGGTTATAAAAGATTGGATTTTGTAATAGACATGTAATTGGTACACATAAGCTCAGTAAAGGAAGGCCTGCCCTTGCTTCAGGAATTTCAGGGAAGTATTTCTGGGAAAGTATTAGACTATCCTTTTGGCTGCTACTGTAGTACTGTCTTTTGTTTATAGGCCTTACTGATTTCAGTTTTGTTTTGGTGTTTTGTTTTTGTTTTTAGAGAACAAATTAAGTGAAGCTTCTGGAGGTCTGGCTGAAAATGGTGAAAGAAGTGATTTGGATGAGGACAACGGAAGTGGGGCACAAGAAAATGGGTCCATCGATGCTGTTCCAGTTGATGAAAATTTGTTCACTGGGGAAGATCTAGAGGAACTAGAAGAAGAATTAAATACACTTGATCTAGAGGAATGACAGCAAACAAGTCAAGGAAGAAAACTAGGTCAGCGTACTATGATCAGCGGAACTGAAATTGATGTTAATTGTTCTACCACCTAGAATCAACAGGATGTTTACTTCCCTACGATGATTCTGGAGGGCTACTGTCCTCCAAAAAAGTACTCTCCCTGCATCTTCTCTTCTGACTTTGACTACATCTCATAGTAAGTTCAGAGTAGTTGATGATAAATTGAAAGTGGTCATTACAAAAGATGATTGTTGTTGTACTATCCACTCCGGTAGGAAGTGTAACTGCTTCTCCAGCTTTTGGTTTTCATTGGGCATGTGTAATTTCCAGGAACAACGAATTCATACTTAAAATACTTTCCGTTTGATGCAGTTTTTAATGAGTGGTTTCCTTTCCTTTGTATTTATATGTTTTAAAGACTGCCTGAAAGGTGAGCACTGTACTTGATAAAGGAGACTGCATATGCAGGTTCAGTATTGTACATCTGGACGATTAGGTGGACACTGAGAATGGGACTTGTTCAACCTAACAAGGTCAGCCACAGTGCCCTGTGTTAAAGCTGTTTAAAGTTCTTCCCCTTTTTTTGCCAATAAAGTTGTAAATAAAAACCATCATCCAAATCCTACCATGAGCCTAATTTTTTTTTTTTCTGTGAAGAATTGCTTAACATTCCTAGCTTGGTATTTTAATTAAATATTGATGGTATTGGTTGTAGGTGTCACAGAGGCAAAAACGTAATGGATTTTCTTGATGCATGTTATATAACCATGGAGTACGAACAATTGTTATTTTTCATTTCCAAAAAGCTTAAGTACTGTTACTTTAGTTCCAGAATTATTAGATCACCAACCTAATAAAATGCTTCCTACAATTAAACCAAATACTTCCTTGGAACAACGTGACATAAAGTTTGATTATTCTGTTGGCAGCAAAGTAAACAAATTCACCAGAAAACTTAAGGCTGAGGATTTTGGCCATTGATGTCCCTTGGAAATTTAGAGTAATGACACATTTTAAATAGACATTAGGTTTTTAATGGCATAAGTACTAGATAACAGTAATCATCCATTGTATTGTGTTTTATGGGGTTATTTGCAAATGTGGATTTTTAGAATGATTTTATTATCTAAGGAAATGAAATAGCATTAAAATATCAGATGACCTAACTCCTAACTAACCTCTTTTCTGCCTCAGAGAAATTATGTCTTAAGTTTCTGGGTTTTAGCTTTTTATTTACCTGTGAATTTTAATATCAACCATGGAACTAAGATGTAGCTCACAGTGCTTTCTTAGCATGTGCAGAAGACCCCAGTTCTAAAATTGTGTTTTAAAAAACCTGTTTTCTAAAACTGCTTTCAAAATCTAACTTATGAAAAAGAAAGATTGCATATCTTGTTGATTACCTCAAAGTTTAGAAAGAAATTTGTTTTCTAGCTCTTATCATAGTTAACATTTTCAAATATAGAATATAATGAACCAAGTTTATTTCCCAACTACTTTTTTGTATAAAAATACAGTTTTATACTTTACAAATTATTTCTTCCAGTCCATATGTGAATAAATTTTAAATTAAAATTACTTTGTGAATTATTTAATGACAAAATATTTACAAAAATAGCCTAAAGAACTTGGATCTTTATATTGTTCACAGCACAGTCAATCTACATTAATGTAGTTAATCTGAAATTGAGTGGGCTATTTCAAACTTAATTTTAAATAGTTTTTATTGCCAGTTTCTTTTAACATAATCCCCTCTGTTAACACATAATCTGTATTCTAATTACAGTGTGTAACTACTTATTTTAAGAGATCTGGAATTTTAAAAATCAGGAAGGTAAATATAAGCTTTTTACAAATATAAGTTTGTACTTACTTCTATATGCTCTATTAAATGAGCACTTTTTTCCTTACCTAAGTTGGATTTCATGAGGCTACACTTATCCAGTAAGTCCATAGTGTGACCCCATATTTGACAGAGTCTGATTCAAAATAGTCTGAATTTTACCTTATCTTTGCATTATCTCATAATCTAAGCCCTGCCATACCACTAATGAAAATTGTTTCAGTCTGATAGTAACAAAACTGCAGGCTCACAGGTTTGGATATAGATCATTAAGAAAGCCTTATAGCTTGCTCCAAACTTAAACACAAAATGAACAGAGGGCATTTGGGACAGAAGTGGCTAGATTATTGTGAATGTCTTCTTCATATCCAGGATGGTCACTTTGGTTTTGTTTTGTTTTGTTATGATAATATTTTTTAATTTAAATTTGAAAGCTTGTTTTACATGTCAATCCCAGTTCCCTCACCCTCCCCTCCTCCCCTGTCTGCCTCCCCAGGGAGGATTAGGCCTTCTATGGGGGATATTTCAAAGTCTATCATATCATTTGGAGCAGGGCCTAAACTTTGCCCTATGTGTCTAAGCTGAGACTGTATCCCTTTATATGGAATGGGCTCCCAAAGTCCATATACTAGGGATAAATACTGATCCACCATTAGGGACCCCATAGACTTCCCAGTCCTCCTAACTAACACCCATGTTCTGGGGGTCTGGGTCAGTCTTATGCTGGTTTCCCAGATATCAGACAGGGGTCCGTGAGTTCCCACTTGCTCAGGTGAGCAGTTTTTGTGGGTTTCTCTAGCCTGGTCTTGACCCCTTTGCTCATCACTCCTCCCTCTCTGGAACTGGATTCCAGGAGTTTGGCTCAGTGTTTAGCTGTGGGTGTCTGCTTCTGCTTCCCTCAGCTATTAGATGAAGGCTCTAGGATTGCATATAAGATAGTCATCAATCTCATTGTCAGGGAAGGACATTTAAGGTAGGTAGCTTCTCCATTGCTTAAATTGTTAGTTTGGGTCATTCTTGTGGATCTCTGAACATTTCCCTAGTGCCATATTTCTCTTAAAACCTATAATGACTCCCTCTATTATGATAACTCTTTTCTTGCTCTCCTTTATTCTTCCTCTGACTCAATCATCCTTCTCCCTCATATCCTCCTCTCCCCTTCTCTTTCTCCTAATTCCTTCTCCCCACCAGGATGAGTACTTTGTATAGAGAATGTTGTCACAGACTGTAGACCTCCATTACATTTGTTCAATATAGGACTGTTCTAGTATACACATTGTTAGGTAAATATTTCCAGGTACTTAGCTCACTGGTGATATACTACAAACTCAAATATGTGTTTCAATGGGTGAATTTCAAAAACTAACAATTAAAAAATGGGACTACCCAAACTGGGTGGTTGTAGCCCACACCTCTAATCCCAGCACTCAGGAGGCATAGGCAGGTGGATATCTGTGTGTTCAAGGCCAGGCTGGTCTATAAATTGAGTTCCAGGACAATCAGGGATATACAGAAACCCTGTCTTAAAAAAGAAAGAGAAAAGAAATGAAATGAACTACCAAAATCTTGTGTTTGGGATTTTTCAATCTTTAAGCATATATTCCTAATGATAACTGTCTGCTGAATAAAGATAGTAGTTCTCAATTAGTAGAGATTAATGGAAACTTAGTTTAGTTAAAGTTTGGTGACGCATCTTAAAATTTTTTGTGTCTTCAGCAAGAAAAAAAATTTTGTCTATTCAGTGTCAAACCTGAATAAAATTATTAGTAGAGGGTTCTTTAATACCACTTATGTTGTATATTTTCTCTTATATTATCGTTTTTTGTTAATGTAGAAAGAAGAGGTGACTGTTTTTGTTTATCCAATTAATAAATAATTTTATACATTTTTTTCACATAGACAACATCTGTTTGGTGCAGTGTATATATAGCCTGAACTGTCTAACCTATTTTAAGGTATCATCTGTCTGTAGTTTGGATGCATATTAAAAGCAGGAATATCAAAATTAATGATAATATGTTGATATTTTGTTTTTCTAATGGCTTAGTCATTAATATGGATACTGTGCAAATAAGTTTGTTACCAAACTTTGCAGTGACATTTTTTTGGGGGGGGTGTTCTAAATCAGGGTCTTAATATAGTTCAGACCTTGGATTTGCACTGTAGCCAAGGATAATCATGAACTCTCTTCCAAAGTATTGGGGCTACAGGAGTGTGCCACCAAACTCAGCCTATTGGTGGGTGTTTTGCTTGTTTTTCCTTCTTTAGATTTTACTATGATTTGTTGTTTGGATGAGTAGGAGGGGTGATAATGGAGGTATGCTTTGTGAAAACAACATGGTGGATATTAATCATGCAAGGGTGTTACTGTGGTCCCAATTCCAAAATCACTGACAGCTGATTCATTTTCAAGCCTAGCAGACCCTTGTGGAGCTCAAGTACCAGGACCTAATGTGCCTTGGTGCATCTATTAAGCCTTGTCATGTAATTCAAAAGACAATGAAGTCTGAAGTTGTGGCTCAGTACTACAGGGCTTTTGTAGCATGGACAAGGCCCTGGATTCAATCCCTAGTGGGATGGTTCAGGGGAAGGCCATTCTAAGTTATATTTTAATTTCCTTCCAAAGGTGCAGTTGTATTTGTTGTTGGTGGTGTTTCAATGGTACACTTTTTTTTTTTTATTAGAATCCACTTTTGTTTGTTTTTTAGATGGGATCTTATAGTGCAGACCGGTCTTAAAATGGTGTGTCCAGAAAATCTGACCCTACTTCCTTCCACCTCCTAAGTACTTGGAATTGCAAGCCTGTGTCATCTATCTTGCTACTGTTCCTGGCTGTTCTGAAACTTGGTCTGTAGACCAGACTTGCCTTGAACTTGGAGATCATTTGTCTGTCTCCAAAGCGCTGGCACATGATTACCACCTGCCTGGAAGTTTATTCTTAATGTTAAAATATAATGAAGTCATAAATTAGTACCCTGGTTATGTAGCATCAACCAGTTGCTGTGCATAATTCTATTGGGGGTAGGGGGGTTGGTTAGTTTTTGTTTGTTTTAAAGCAACTTTTCATTACATTGGCCAGGTCATTAATTTGTCCTGTGTTCCAGCAAAACTCCCACCTCCACCTCCCTGGAAGTGTAGGCACACTCGCATACCCTGACTTTTCATGTGCTGTATTTTTGTGCGTTTGACGGCAGAGTAAGTTTATTTACACCAGCATCATCAACCACCATAAGTAATGCCTTGTTTGAACATTAGAACAGCTATGATGTCATTAGTGGATGAATTTTCAGGTCACTTATAATCTGTGGAAACACCATCCTGTGTAAAGAAAGCACTTGAACTAAGAACATCTGTTCAAGACATGAACTTTTAAAAGCAGGCTGTAGAAATTCTGAGAGCATACAGTATGGATAATTTTGCCAGGTCCTGTAAACACATCACTGATGGGATCATTTGGCTGTAAAACTATTCTGGAAAAGAAGCTGTTCATCATCTGCATAGGCCAATATGTTCTAAACATAACTGCCATGACTCAGAGACATTTTACTCTAGTGAATATTCAGTCCAATTTCAAAAAACTGAAATCAGGACTTTTCACAGCTTACGGGGGCAGCAGGGGGGGTATGTTTAGCATAAGCTTTCTAGGGACTTCAGAAATAGCTCAGCAGGTAAATTGCTTACTATGTAAGCAGGAGGAGTTGAGTTTGACCCCTAGCAGCCTTGTAAAATGTTGAGATTGTTAATTCCAGTGCTGAGAGGCAGACACAAGTGAATC